GTAGTGTATGTATGCGGAAAAAGAGTGACAATGGGCCTTATGCATAAAAAGTGAGCTTAAGCTCAGACTCAATTTTTGCACTGAAGGGGTGAGCTCAAGCTCAAGAATTTGTACTGAAAATCGAGTCGGAGCTTAAGCTCACTTTTTTTGCATGAGGCCCAATGTGTTGGGAGTAGAGTACAATGCAAGGAGTACTTATTGAACGAAATGTGGCAAATACACTTGCGCTGGACTTTAGAGTGTACACATGGGTATATATACATATATACAGTGACTGAAACAAATGACCACGTGTTGATTGTCTTCCAATATTCGTTATGTTTTTCGAGCTAAATTTTGTTTGTTATTTTTATCTAAAAATATCGTCTAAGCTTTAACCGAGGCCGTATAAATCACAGTTTCAAACTTTATACAAAATAAATCACAAATGACCACGTGTTGTTTTTTTAATTATTCGTAATATTTTTCCAGCAAACTTTTTTTGTTATTTTTATATAACAATATCGTCTAAGCTTTAACCAAACCCGTGTAAATCACAATTTCAAACATTATAAAGATTTAGGAAAATTAAACAAACTTTCATGAAAATTTCAAATTTTTATTCTGAATTGTTGAATGCAGTTTTATAGCCCATACAATTTTAGTCTAATGAAGTACGAGTTTCAAACGGCTAAAACATCGCGTTGATTTTGAGATTTTTTTTTGTGCGACGGACTTTGCACTTTTTTTCATATAAGTATGAATTTCTTATGAAATAAAACACGGCAGACCGTCAGCAACGAAATTTCAAAATCGGCCGTATTGCGAATGAACAAATATTGGCATAAATTATAAAGCAAAACAAAAACAATGTTTCCCAATTTGTTTTTGTTTTGCAGGCTAAATTATGGGAACGATTTATTCACATGGAATCGGCTATAGGGCTGAATATGAACACAAGTTTTTGTAAATAGCGCTTGTTATATTAAAAAATCCGAAAAAGTAGCCTTCAAAAAAGAATTCTCAAAAATCAACGCAATTTTTTACCCGTTTGAAACTCGCTTTTTATTACACAAAAATTGTATGGGCTATAGAACCAAAAATGTTCTAAAAATTCAGAATAAAAAGTTGAATTTTTGATGAAAATTTGTAGAATTTTCCTAAATATTTATAAAGTTTTAAATTGTGATTTTCACGGTTTTGGTTAAAGCTTAGACAATATTTTTATGCAAAACTAACAAAAAAAAATTAGCAAGAAAAATATTACGAATATTAAAAAAAAACATGTCATTTGTTTGAGTCACTGTATGTGTCTCAGACTTACCCTCCGATGCAGCAGGCCTTAGGTGGGGCACAACTGTTGTTGTTGTTGTTACTGGTGTGTAGTTGTTGTTGTTTGCTGCCTCCCGTTGCGATGGTGTTGCTCGGTGGCGTTTGCTGCTCCACTGCTGCTATGGCCTGTCGTTGTTGATGCTGGTGTGTAGCCGTTGCTGTCGCTGCTGGTGTGGCAGCCTTAATGGGGCCGCCTGGTTGTTGTTGGGTGTCGTGCGTTGTTGTTGCTTTCGCGCTTATTGCAACCGGTGCTATGGCGACGTCGTAGCGCCTCGTTGTTGCAACTTCTCTGTGGCGGTTGTTGTTGCTTGCGCGTGTTGCGACCGCTTCTAAGCCGGAGTTGTTGCCCTCTGCTGTGGTTGTTGCCCGCTACTGTGGCGGCTGTTGTGGTAGATGCTGCTTATGGCGGTTGTTGTTGTTGTCGCGCGTTGTTGTTGGCTGTCACTGCGTTGTGCGGAGTGAGACAGCGACCTTCGGGATGGGAGGATCTTAAGTTTATAGTTATCATAAAAACATTGGTGCGCATTCATAATCGTAACTATGAATATGCGCCTTTTACCATTTATGTGACACTAGCACTACATTCGCCATCATTTACTTGGTCCATACCTACACAAGAACCGCATTATCAAAAACCAATTTGACTTACTACATATTTCTTTAAAGTTTTTAGGCCTATATCTTTATAGCGCACTCGCTGAAACCATATTCAAATCTAAGTAAAATTGTCTGGTTTTATTCGATTTTCTTTAATAATTAATTTGCGCGGCCAATCAAAGGAAGCGAACCATAATTCAATTTTATTACAATAATAATTCGAACTTACACCGGGCTATATAAAGAAGACCCGCCTATTTTCACTTCGTGTCCAATGAATGTTGGGTTTATGTGGTTTTCCAAACGGTGCCAGAATATAAAAGAAACCAATTTAAAAAAAAAAATTGGAGTAAATACACTTTTGAGCCAAGAGCCCTGATGCGTGCCAAGCGTGTGCCCAAACGCCCGTAAAGTGACTTAAGTTAACACGAATTAATGCATCGTGTAATCAGGCCAATTAATAAAAAAAATTTAACCTGACTGTAGCGATGGTAGTGGGTATTGATGCCTGGGTGCGCTCCAAGCGCGCTATTTCGCAGGCCAGTAGCGGGAGGTGGTTGTGGCCCTACTTGCTGGACTGGATGCGCCGCTTAAGTTACCACCACTCACTGGGTACTCTTGGACGTCGCTCGCACCTTGATAGAATTCTAAGCTTCGGCGGACGGTGGAGCAAGATGCAATGTGCAAGATAGTGGCGCTATTTATTATTAGTTTGTTGTTGTCTGTTTTTAAACTTATGTGGAGTGATAAAAACCCACAAAATTAATTATTTTAACACTAAAACGCTCTTTGGTTGTTTTTCTTCACTTCCACTTGATTGTGACAAACGGTATCGCAAATGGCCGACTGTGAGTTTGCCAGCGGGTTTTATACCCTTGCCAAATGCGACGCAATTTTTGATGGCATGTTAGAAATAGACGCGGTATTATCGATAAGTACCATGCAATCTGGTTGGGTCTATTTATTTTTCTTTAGATTTATAGGAAAATGAAGGATGTATATATTGATTTTAAGGTACATAACCGATTTACTTAAGGGTAAATGTAGATAAGGCGTTACAATATAATAATTAGTTATTTTATTGCAGGAAAACCTATATTGACAATTTATTCAGTTTTTTTATCGACTATTGTTAAAGAAGCTTAGTTTCAGGGAATGCTAACAAGGATCTGCCTATGTTAAGCGTCCTAAAATTGGGAAAGCATGATATCGTAACTTTTAAGATAAAAAAAAAAAATATTGTTTGTCATGAAAAATGAAAATGGTATTGTTAAAAATTTTCTTTTATAATGAACGGTTGCATGCATATAGAGTTTTGCCAATTGGGGCCATCTCTAGATCACGCGTATTTTTGGTAACACAGTGATATGAAGTAAGAGATATCTCATACCATTTATCGCATACCTAGCTATGGGTTTAGCAACTTTTTCATATATGCTTTGATTCACACTGATCGCACTACGATAAGATTTGGTATGCGAGAAAACTGACAGTTGTATGCTAGCGCCCATAGCAGGTATATACGTGCAGTAATAGCCCTATAGTGTGCTTTGTCTAAAAGTGTTGTCGACTCTTTTTCGCTTTTAGGCTTTTTTTGTACTAGTCGATAATGTTTCCTGTAGTGGCAACCCCGCCAAGAATTGTCAAGATGGCAGACTCTCATTGGCAGTTTTGGCGTTGCCGTACGCTCTGGACAATATTAGATGGTGAAATTTTCTGACACATTACCGGGTGCAATAAGAATAAAATATTTAGATTTCTCTGAGGCGAACAGTAGCCCATAACAAAAATAAAATGAGTAGAAAATGTACTAAAACACCAATTTTTCGCACTTCAGGGATATCTGTATGCGGTCAAATCTCAAAATAAACATTATATTGTGATTCCTTGACCCCAAAAACCTTTAGTTACACTTGTTCAAAAAGAATAAAAAAATTGTTTCTACAAATGCCGGATTCTGCACAAACCACGTACTCTGCAGAAAACCTAGGGTGACCCGAAAGTTCTGACTTCAGATTCGGATTCAGCAGACCCAAAAGATTAGAAACTGTGAAAAACCCCGGGGATTTTTGAAATCTTAAATTCTGTTGTACCTTAGTAAAATAATTATATGTGCATCATGGTTTTCCTCGGTTTCTCTGTATTAAATAAGGGTAAAGTTTTTTGTGGTATGTAGTTAGAATAGCCATTGGTTTATAAGTATTTTCCATACACTTGGTTGGTATTCATGTATTATTTAATCTACCGTTTCAGCAATCAGTAGTACATTCAATAGAAAACAATTACATGTGTTTAAGGAGTTTTTCGGCTTCCTATTGTCATAATTTCTCAACAAAAAAGTACAGTAAAAAATATGTAGAAGCTATTTTCAAACTAAAACCTATTTTATTATTTTTCAATGTTATATCATGGCCCATAATATCCAGTGGCATTGAACTATAAAGATAACGGTAAAGAATTTTCAAGAAAACACATGATGCACATATAATTCTTTTACTAAGGTACTGTGTTGTTGGAAGTCTCCAGAAGAGAAGCAGAGTTTGTCCATCGAAAAATATTGACTTTCAAGAATTCTGTTCCATTTCCACAATTTTTTTTTGTAATTAAAATGAAATTAAAACTTTGAGCGCTTGAGCTACTCTAAATATTTTTTGATTTCGATATATTTTATTAAATATAGAACAATCATAGGGGGTGAGAGCATTGCATTTTTGGGCCACCCTAATGTACATACATGTCTGTGGCAATAAGTAACAACTATTACAACCGAACAGTATAATACCTTTATTACCTAAATTAATGGGAAATTTTTGATGAGAATTGATGGGAAAATTAAGAAGGGGTTGTGACATTCAAAATTATTTCTTTTACATTAATTTTTTAACAGTATTTAAGTGGCTACTGCATAAATTCACAAGCATACGGTGAGAATGGTACATTCTACTCACTCGTGCTATAGTCAGGCTTTCCTTATTGCCACAGATATGTATATTTAATTCGATAGTTATTGCAGTTGGTGCTTAATACATACATATTAATATTCATTTTAGTAATGTATAACTAACAAAATATTATTAATATTTCTTTTTCAGGTTTAGACAAAATTGAGTACCTGCAGTCCCATGAAAATCGCGACATTTATTACAAATCATTTTACATAATTGAACAATATTTTAGTAACGAAGAAGAAGATTCGCGTGTGGCACCTACTGAAGAAGAAACACAATACACATTTAATCCAAACGTTGATACGCCAAAGGGTGGATTTTTATTTTAGTCCTATAGTGTTTTCGAAAAACGTGGTTTTGAATTTTATTAAGTAACGGAGGTTCGTGTATATTTCTGATCAATACCTTAAGTAATTTTATTCAAAATATAATTTTTGTTATTATCTTTTAACAAAGTAGCAGTTTTTCAGATATTTTGCTTCTTTAAGCTTAGTATCTAGCTCTAAAGAAATAGTTTTCATTGTTTCTGTCGCTTGCATGCAGGCAAGTAATAACAAACTTTAGAGAATTGTAGAACAAAAATCTGCATACTAACAGCATGAACCTGAATTCAAAAATGATGCTTGAAAAAAATTTCTTATTCAATTCTTGAGTGCTTTTTATTTGAAATTTGGTTTTTCTTAAGAGCTGGATACTATGTAAGTTTAAATGTAAAAATAAGATGAAATGCATATATATATTTCGTAAAATCAATGTTCTTTTGGTTTGCATTTGTTGTACTTTAGTTACTTTAATAATGTTTTAGAATTGTTGCACCTTAGTCTTTCAATAAAAGGTATCTTGAAATTCAATGTTAAGTGTTTAGCAATCAAACATTTTTATTTAAGGGAAAGGTAGAAGGCAAATATTTGTGGTAAATTTTTCTCCCACTCTCCCACTTGAAAATGGCACTCCCCAGGGATGTTGTGTAACAGCATACAGATTCCCCAAGCTTTTTGGGGAGTGTTGCTGGAGTGGCAGTCCTTGGCCGGTACCGGTTACCACTACACCACAGCGGCCGACATATTATTAATATGATAGTGCTCGGAAATTTGAAACACTTATTTTAAATAAAATATTAATCCTTTGATTACACGTTATGTTTAAGTTTTTGGATTCGGATTATGCGTTTGGACACAACAACCGAAAATCATTGTACAAATAACTAAACCGGACCGAAGTTTCTCGATAAGGGGCAGCAAAGATTCTGTTTTACTCGTTTATATAAAGCAGTGGATAAAGATATACTTATATGCGAAGGGCCAATTTATCTGTTAAATGAATGAATTTAATATTTCCTGCATCGATTTACGTCTTTTATCTCGCCTCCGACACAGAATTGTTTTCGTACAAAATTACGCAAAAAAGCGTACTCGTTCGTTTTTAGGCATGCCATTGTTACGAATTTCGAAAGTTCGAAAATACGATTCGGATTACAGCATACTATTTCTACGATTCGTAGCGAAATCCGAATACGAAAGAGTTGCAGAATAGGGGTGTAAAACTTCGCTTAATCAGACTCTACAATGATATATTTAATACCTCTGTTTACCCTCAGTTTTGGAAAACATCTTGTATAATCCTCATCCTAAAGTCTGGTAAACCTGCCACCGAAATCGACAGCTACAGACCAATATCGCTTCTTCCGTGTATGGGAAAATTGTTAGAAAAAATTGTTGCAAATCTTTTAACGTGGTACGCTAGGAAAAACAACTTAATCAAGTTGCCTACAGAAGAGGCCATGGTACAATGGACGCTCTGCTGCTTCTTGACCACTTTGTAATGAGCTCCCTTTCGAGTAGGAATCACGTTTCAATCCTGTCCTTAGATTTCCATAAAGCTTTCTACAGAATAGGCAGTCACATCATAATCAGACAGCTACAAAAGTGGGCAATCGGTCCTATAGTGCTAAACTTCATTAAGGACTTCTTAACTAACAGAAAAATTAAAGTATCCATAAAAAACTTTCTTTCCTCCACATTACCACTACAAAACGGGATGCCGCAGGGCTCTCCTCTTTCAGCATTACTATTTGTAATAGCTTTCGACGAGATAAGCCAAATACTTTCCTGCCATAAATAAATCCAACATCAAATTTACGCTGATAACGTTCTAATTTATTGCAAAATCTGTAAACTAAGCGAAGCAAACAGATTTTTTTTTTAACTTTTACACGACATTTCTAACTGGTCATTAATATCCGGCGACTCTTGGTCATTAGACAAAACTCGCATTCTGCACATTTGTCATAAAATAAATTGTAATGGACTAACGCTTACTTTCAACAATCCTAATATAGTAATTTAGTCTCAACTAAAAGTTTTAGGATTAATTTTGGATTCTAAATACAATTTTAGTGCACACTGCAAACATTTAAGAAATTGTCTACTAAAAATTCTTAGTATTGTAAAATATCTGTCGAATAAGCACGTCTTAGTACATCCAAATACGCTGGTTAATGTTGTCAAGGCATTAATGTTGTCTAAAATTGATTATGGTGTCCCGATATATGGATACTGCGCGAAGAAATACATAAACCTATTAAGCGCCCCGTATCATGTTATACGTAGAAGCTTAAGGACTTTCCCTACTTCACCAACTAAAATCATTCTGGCGGAATCAGGCTTGCCAAGTATCTCAACTAGAATCGTTGACACGACGCACCTCTTATCGGAAAAATATTTGGAAGGTACCAATAACCTCCTATCTAATGCTTTTAAAACTACAGCAAGCAGGAAAAGACTGCCTAGAATGCATTCGGCCATCACAAAATGTGTATCGTTTGCTAAAGAGAATGCATTACAAGGAAAGCTGTTGAAAAGTATTCACCATGCTTAATTAGTAAATACGCTTTTCCTGATAAACTGCTAAACATGTCGAAAGAGAACACACAAAACGAATCTTTTCGTGCCACTTTTCAAAAACAGGAAGCCAACTACCAATCTGACGGTTGGACCTTCGTCTTTACAGATGGATCCAAAACGCATGATTCCACCTCGTTCGCTGTCGTCACAAAAGCAAGACATGTGCTCTCCAATTGGCTCCTCCGCCCAACTTGGTATATTTTTACTGCAGAGGCTTTAGCGATATTAGAGGCTATCAACTACGCCAAAAGAAATAAAGGAAAGTACCTAGTATGCACATACAGTAAGTCATGTATATCGTCTATATTATCTCCTGCTAACTTCAATCCAATCATATTAACGATTCGAAATGCAGTGATTAGCACTCTGCATAAGTTAAAAATCGTGTGGGTACCTGGGCACGTTGGCATAACAGGTAACCAGATGGCCGACTCTGCTGCAAAACTCGCGGGATAAACACCTACCCTCACTATGGATATCTTTACGAAAAATGATCTTCGTAGATTAGTCAAGAGCAATCGGAGGCTTGCTGAGATGAACGACTGGATCAATTTCAACCACCACTACACCAATTTCAATCCAGACCGTGCCAAAGTTATTTACCCGTCAACAGTAAAAACAACCACAATCAGACCTTTTATACGCCTTAGGATTGGCCACACACTTTTAACACACTCCCACCTGCTTACCGGGAGTTCCGAATCATCGTGTCCTCTCTGTGGAGACACAGTATCAATACAACACATCCTTGGGCTTTGCCCGTCACTCAATACCCTAAAACAACCCGGACAATATTGACCTCAAACAAGCTTTATGTGAGAAAAAGGCCAAGGACTACATCCTCGCCCTCCAGACACTCATCCGGCAACACCAAACAAAGTTCAACGAGGACCATCTGGAGCGCATTTACGACTGCCTGCGCGTCGAGTACCGACTCTTCGTGAAGCGGAGCGAATTCCACACCATCGAGGAGCTGATGGAGCTCATCGATGAGTATGAATTACTGAAGAAAAAGGAATCCAGGCAGAATCGACAGGCGGCGCATAGCTTATCCACCGTAGATGGTCAGTGTAATTAGAGAAACACCTGCTGGCGATGCAAGAAGCGCGGACATACACGCTTCCACTGTATCAGCGCGCGGCGGCTGTTCTGCACCCGATGCATACAGGATGGGATCTTTTCCATGGATTGCCGGTGCCACAAGTTAACATCAGCAGTTCCAACGGTGACCACTTCACACACCGCCCCAGCTCTATCACTGCAATTTGAGAGGCGACACATCGACGGCCGCTTCTACGCCGACGTCACCACCGAAGGCCTGAAGTTACGGGCGCTGGTGCACACAGGAGCCACGCTGACGTACGTCGACCAGAGCACGCGCGCGCATTTGGAACGGTGCAACATCCAGCCCCTGCCCAATCAGCAGGATCAAACTTGCGTCGCAAGCACGCACGCCTACCCCGTTAGAATAGAATACAATGGTCGGTTCACTCACACATCAATAGCAGTGATTCCCAACCTGGCGGGGCGGATAATATTAGGAATGGACTTCCTAGCAAAATGAGGCATCGTTATCACATTGGATGGCCAGCCACTGGCTCCCGCTACACCATCAAAGGTAGGGGCGACACCCGCTCTAGCGCACCTCAACGAGAAGCAGAACCAGGAGCTAGCAGATTTCCTGGAGCACCGCAAGACCATATCTTTAAAACGCACTGGACCGAGCACAGCCGCAGAGCACATAATCACGCTCCGGCACTACCAGCCGCTGAAACAACGTTATTGCCCGCGCAACCCCGCTATGCTGCTGGCAATAAATAACGAAGTAGATGAGTTACTCGCCGATAGAAGGATTTGGCCATCTAATAGCGCCTACAGCGCAAGCAGAATGGCAACACGAAAACGCAACAAGCGACAACCAGCGCCGCCAGACGAACCACGTCCAGTATCCTCATGGCGACCGCCCCTTGATGCAACACCATGGCCTCGCTACAAACCACGTATACTAAGCATTAAAATATTTCGCGGTCCGCCGCTAGTACAACCCGATGCGAACGCCCAGCACCAATTATTCGCCATGACGTGCAACCCCGCTGTCGCTAACACCACAACCGTTGATACCCACAACTTCAGCGGGGAGCTGCAACCAACGGCCGGCGCAACCCACGATACCGCAAACGAAATATAAATAACAAATAATATCTTAATAAAGCGAACCGCGAACACACACCGGCCGAGCCACCGTTCCGTACGATGGTAAAATTTACCTAGGCTTTGCGTAAGGTAGTGCAGGCCTCCAGGCCAAGACTCCAGAATACCTCGAACTTTCGTCCGCCGAGGTGGGAGGTCCCCCTCCCATTCACTACGCTACAATATTTGCAGCCACAACCTACCACGAATCTATCCTACGTTGTAAATATGTATGAACATATGATATGCTTACCCACATACATCAGTCATGTACATACGATGTACATACATATGGGTAAAATATTCACAGCGCACATACACACACACACACCAGCATGCGCAAGGAGAACCTAGTTCTTATAGATCCCTATGTATGATTGATTCCTTAGGTAAGTTACTCGAACGCATCGTTTGCAATCGCTTGTGGCAGCATATCGATGCCAAAGAATGTCTGTCAGACACTCAATTCGGGTTTCGAAAGGGTAGGTCAACTGTCGATTCTATACGCAGCGTTACCGACATTGCTGAAGAAGCTATTAAGGGTAAGCGTTGGAAAAATGGGTCCAAGGAATATTGTGCTGTAGTCACCCTAGATGTAAAAAATGAACTCGTTGAGCTGGTCGCACATTATAAATGCGTTAGAAATTATTCATATACCACAGTATTTAATTAATATAATTAACAGTTATCTATCTAATAGAGTTTTGTCCTACAACACGGAAAGAGGCAAAGTAAGCTATAGAGTCTCCAGAGG